ATAAGGTATGTGGTTCCGTCATGCGCCATGCCGTACAGGTACACCGATACGCCGTCGGTTGCAATCTTATATCCGAGCACATACGACACGATCCGCATGTCTGAGGCAGAGAGAGAGAGAGAGAGAGAGAGAGAGAGAGAGAGAGACGTGAGATTATACGTGGTGTCTTCCTCTTCTTCTTCTTCATCTTCTTCTTCTTCTTCGTCTTCTTCTTCTTCTTCTTCTTCTTCTTCCTCTTATTCTTCTTCTTCTTCTTCTTCTTCTTCTTCTTCTTCTCATCATTCTCGGCGTCAGCTAACACTACACTCGAGCCTAGGCTCACTGCAGCCAGCAGGACCTAAGGGCGCACGCCCGTAGATTTTGGATCAAAATTAAAAATAAGCTTCAGCTAATAATCGTAAATAAACCCAACTATTTTAGGGTATCTATCTATGATAGCTGGGTATCAGAACCCACCCCTATTAACATAGACATCGACAAACAGAGCCTGCCACCCGTGCGCTCCATCATTAACAGTGTGAGTCTTTGCTCAGCCTACAGGTCCTGGTTACGAAATGCACTCGCGACAGACGTACAATATCTCCGAGCTAGCAGCGCACACATGTGTGGATGACGCACGGCTGTTCTGCTTGCATCTAAGACAACATACGACAATACGGCATATACGCATCTTCCTATTGACAAATAATTGTTGTATGTGTTGTGCGCATACAGTAGGAGTTTAGGGCGCTATTATGAACGCAAGCAGTGAATTTCAGGTTAAAGCGGAACGAAGTTGACTCGCCAATATTGGTCATTAGAAGAATCTTCCTAGGTTGGTCATCGGGAGAGCGTATATCGTATGTGTATTTGTCTAGATGCAAGCAGAACATGTTGAGATTACAACGACAGTCTTCTTAACCCGAGGCACTGAATCATCGGGTGTCTATGTTTCACACATGATGCCTTTAGCTGTCTTCTTCCTGTTGAATACATGCATGATACAGAGTCACCTCAAAGACTGGCCACGAGCAGATGGCGCTCTCGCTCTCTGGCTCAAGTTTATCCGGGTTTGGTCTATATCAGGCCGGTAGCATGGAGAATGATGCATATTTTGTCGACGGTGTTTGTGTTATAACCAATCAATGTAACTGCAGATGTAAGGAGGGAGGGGAGAGAAGGAGAAGGTGGTGGGAGGAGCGGGAGAGCTGGTGACAGAAGGAGCGAGGGGAGAAGGCTGTGCGAGAGGTGGTGGAGAAGGAGGAGGTGTGGAGAAGGTGCAGGAGGTGCCCCTTCTCCTTGGCAAAACGACCTTCTCCCCTTCTCCAGACCACGCTTCACCTACCACCGTTCCCGCCACCGTCCTCCTTGCTCCACCGAGCTCTTCGCTCCTTCTTCCCTTCTTCATTCTTCAACTCAGCTTCTTACCCTCCACTTCTCCACCACTTCTCCCCTTCTCACTTCTCCACCACCTTTTCCCTTCTCCCCGTTCCTCCTCTCCAGGACAGCTCTCTCCCTCCTTCTCCACCTAGCTTCTCCCCCTACCCACCACTTGCTCCTTCCTCCCTCCTCCTTCTCCACCAGCAGTTCCTCCCCTTCTTCTTTCTCCAGCCACCTTTCTCCTTCTCCCCTCCTCCTCTTCTGCACCAGCTCTCCCTCTGGAGCCTCTTTCTCCACCACCTTCTCCCTTCTCCCCTCCTCCTCCTGTCACCATCTCTTCACAGCTGGAAGTGACGCGTCACGAAACACTCGATTAGATCTGATTGGTTATAACCAAACCACAGGTGAAAAATATGGCAAATTATCTCCTGTTAACCCGGCCTGAATAAGACAAACCCAATTTATCCGGCAGTACGTTTTGTACGAGAGGAGGTACAGAAAGGTTGAGAGCACTGAAGATTGCACGCGCAACGCCCTCGCACGCCCGCGCGCTGACGTTCTCGAGCCCCTGCACGCGAGCACGCCACGCAAGCCTCACCGCGGCAACGCAGCACGCACGCCCTTCACCATGCCGCCGCGCGCCACCCATAGCGCATGCGTCCCACAGCCGCATCAGCCATGCACCGACCCTCACACACGCAGCGCACGCCCATCACGCAATGCCGGCGACGCCCTAACGCACGCACGCACGCCTCAGCGCACGCACGCATGTGGCGCTCGGCGGGAGTTCCACGCACGCACAACACGCTAACGCGCCTCACGCCACGCTAGATGAAACAATCATTAAATTTAACAATGTTTGATGCTACTATTATTGAACAGGGATTTCTAGCATATGGCCAAGCGCAGATGTAAAATCTGGCACTTCACAAACACGTGTGTGGGCGATCGTTAACAGCGATATAACAATTGACCGCTGTCACTCGATCAGTCCATGCAGCCGCGAACCCGCGCGAAGCGCGAACACAGCGGCATCTCACTGGCGCCATTAGGGTCAATTTGCGCTGGCCCAATATGTGATAACTAATACGGCAAAATCACTTTGTGGTAGTATCATAAAGCCTCCAGAATCGTGAATTGAGCAAGTTCTGGGCCATTGCCGAAATTTTTGGACTTTTGCACGTAGTGGCGAGAAAAATCGAAATGGTCGTAATTGGTGTTTTTTTTATCGCTAGCTGGTACGTTTTCCTATAAAAACGACTGGTTCGAATTTAATTTAATTTAACGCCTGGAAATGGTTATTCTGGTAGCATGTATCGCGGCCTCATAGATCCGGCGCCACGACGGCTCCTCTTGAGGCATTTCGCGACAATATTTCGTTTAGACTGGCGCGTCGGTCGAGATTTCACACGCTGCAGTAAACTAATAACTGTTAGTGTAGCGAAAGAGCTTGCCCGAAATTAAACGTTTACCGTGCCAGTCTAACCTGGAATCGTGACATCGACGTGTTCGTTAATCGTAGCCATCTTGCTGCTCCTTATGAAGCCGTCGCTTTCGACCCCGGCGCTCGTGCATCTCCTCTCAGACTCATACCCGTTTGCCGTTTTTGCATATTACAGCCAGCTTGCAGTGCGTCAAGCCGCGCACGTACGAGCACACACTGCATGATCATTCAGTTGCGTTTAGACTGAAGGCCATCTAGCGGCACTAAGAGACCGTGGTAACAAGATGGCGTTGCGCAAAAGTATGCGTTGTTAAGCCCGACCGCACTATACTAATACTACTCTAGTACGTACGTGTAGTAGTAGTACTACTAAGTTACCTGCAAGCAGCTACAGTAGCTAGTACTAGTAACTACGCGGAGGACCCGCAGGAGCTAATCAGTTAATATAAATAATGAACTAACATCTGTTACTAGTATTACATAAACTGTACTAATAATGACGAATCCTAACCATAATCCCTGAACCTATTATATTGATATAAATTATATTATAGAGTTGATGTTAAATGAACATTGGTTTTATTGGCCATGCCATACATTGGGCCCATATGGAATCATTGGGAGGCCCATGTTCATCCTATCCTTGAGCCACTAGTACCTACTAGACTATCATACGTACTAGCCAAGAAACGCGCCTTTGCTAGGGTTAGAATACCCCTGAGGCTATACTAGACACAGGCTTTCCCTGGTTTCTTTTGCGCGTGGCAGCGGCGCGGCGTGATCATACAAAAACGAGTATGCACAACTACGCGTTGACAAAGGGAAATCCCTCCTAACCAAGTTAGTTGGCCCCCGATGTCTAGTGTGGATCTCAATGGATGGTATTAAAGTCCAAGGTCTATGGGATACTGGCGCACAGATCAGTATGATCAGCAAAGACTGGAAGAGGAAGTACCTCCCGGACAGTGAGATAAGACCACTAAGCGACATACTTGGAAGAGATGGGAACCTTGACCTCAAAGCGGCAAATGGTAGCAGTATACCCTATGATGGTTGGATTAAAGTTGACATACAGATGTTGACTACTGATGAAACTCTGGTCAAACCATTTAGGGTACCCCTGCTGGTGAGCAAGGATGGTAGCCCTGATGTGCCCGTAATAGGTTACAATGTCATCCAAGAAATAGTTAAGTCAACACCGGATAGCAATTATAATACCAAG